GATTTCTTGGAAACTTCAAAACAATTGCACGGGGAAACATGCTCATGTTGGCAGCCACCCCAAGCAGGCCAGTGGACAACTCTGACCCACTTCCACAGAGCTACCAGAGGAACAACCTGGCAGGACAGGTTACTGCAGGGGGGCACGTGCAGGGGAGAACTGTTCACTGGGAATGTGCACAGGCTCTCTAGGATGGGAAAAGACCCTTCCTCCCACCACACAGAGGGACAGTTCCCGCCTTACCTCTTTGTGAGGCTACCAGATGCTCAGTCTTCCCCTTGTCCTGGCCAGGAGAGGTTGTGGGGGCAGCGCTGCTCATCTCCCTCTCTCGGGGCTCCTGGGTCAGGGCCCCGTGAGCGAGGTGGGAGCGGTGACCTCCATTGCCAGTGCCGAGGTTCCACACACCAGCCTTACAGCCAAACGGGGGAATGATGCTACTTGGGTGTGGAGGTTTCTCAGGTCCTTCCCCACACCATGAATCTGTTGTTGTCTTCATCTGCTTTTTTGGTATGGACTGAGAAGAAGCTGTAGACCAGGTAAAAGGGAGGAAGTGAGTTAGTTGACCTCACTCCTTTACAACGAACACACCTAATGGGTAAGGCATTTAAGGGTTTTTTCTTATCATTCATTTCAGAAGATCAGTTTTTATTTTTCATGAAACTAGCATCAGTTTAATTCCCCTTAACAGTACTGAACTAGCAAGCCAGGAGAGAGATTCTACTAATTTGCTTATGTGTTGCTATTTGCCCATCCACGATTACAGGATCTCTTTCCTTCCAAACAGTAGGCAATCCACAATGGTCTCTAGAATTTGACACTGTCTAGGAGGTAGATGCTTTCCAAAGCTAGTATTTAAGTCCTTTGTTTCTGTAATTCCCATTGAATTTTGGGCTGGGTTTTGTTGGGGCTTTTTATTTCTCTTCACAACAAAAGAAGACTAGGACACAAACCATATCACCAGGTATTATAATTAAAGGAAGCTTTGCACTCTGCACTAGATGTCCCCAGTATTCAATGGGCCTATATCTGTAGGGTGCAAATTGGCCACCCAAACACTGTACTTCTGTTCTGCTTCATTGTTACAGGGATTTATTCCCTGCTTCCTTTACTGGAAAGTCTCACAAATCCATGATAAACATGATCTGCCTCAAAGAATTTGTGATCTTGGCTGTTCCTGAAAATTCAAAATTTCTTAATAGAAATAGCACAGGGCAGCTCCTTCTGAAATACTCTCCAACAGAGCTGTTAAAACTCAGAGAACTAATCATTCTTTACATGGCTTCACAGATGATAAAATCATGTGGCAGCCAAACCATAAAAGAGGAATAACTTTCTTAAATCAGGATTTTTTCCCCCTGTGGAATGGTCAGGTCAGTAATAAAAGAGAGACAGATAAGGTTTAACGATATAGCTCATTTCTAGTCCAGAATGTATCCTGCAAAAATGTCACCTTACTTACTCAGCAACACTTCTCCCTAGTTGCATTCAGTATTCTAGCTGCATATCAGCAGTAAAGGAATCATTCTGAAGGGACATGCCCATTACTGGCAGAACTAACACTGAGCCGAGGGACCAGTGGATCTTATCCCTTTTTCTGCATCAGCAAAATTATTTGTTCAATTCTCCTCTCTCCTATCACTATAAACCAACAGGAGGCAAAGGGACAGCAATGGTGTCATTGAGGTTTTCAACTATTGAGGTTTTCAAGTATTGGCTGACACAGATGCACCAGACACTGCATTTTGTCTTGTAGAATTCTTATTGCTAGTGATAAGGCAAGGCAGGGAGGGGAGGGCAAGCCATAAGGCATCTCCTAGCCCAGCCTCAGTTTGCAATGCTGCCATAGGCAGGTAATGCAGGGAAAGAGATCTGTAATCATGAACCTGGCATATGTGGTTTGAGGTAAATGAGTTGCACAAAGGAAACCTCAGCATTTAATTTAGGCTTGTGCTTTAAGAGGATGAGAAGCTCAGATCCTGCATAGGCCGGATCCTTTTTTAAGTCTCTTTCTCTGTAAATGGAAAATTTACAAGGTCTTTCTATCACAGGAGATTTCACTATTTCTCCCAGTGCAAAAACAGGCAATGTTGATGAATCTACTTCAGCTCTCAAAGGATTCGGCTCAGAATCTGCCCCAAGGGAAGGTTTTCTCCTTCAAGTGTATGAGGGAGGAGTGGGAACATTTCTCATTTCATGCTAAATGCCTTTTTCTCTAATAATTGTGACATTAGAAACTGTGCAGGGAGATAAAAGGTATGCACACAATGTAGAGGAATGTTCTCTTTTTCTGATGTGCATTTCCAGGGCCCCAAGGTACCCCTCCAGCTCCTGCTATTCTACACTTCAGTCTGGAATAATTTTCACTGCACCATCAAAGCATATTTCCCAGTGACTGGGTTCTGGGGGAGTCGTCTGAGCCCATCAAGGAACTGAAAAAAGTTACAGGATAGTTTTCAAGCAAACTTTCAGATTCCTATGGTCATTTTAGGACAGACATGCCCTGTACCTACCTAGATATTTAGAGTTCTTCTCTTCGTTTCTGCTGATTGATCTTAGCCTTGAGAAAATTGAGGATAAAGGAACATATGAGGAGATAGAATGAGAAGGTGGGGGATGGGTGTAACATTAAAGGACACAAACTTTCTCAGCATGGTCATTCTGGTGAAGGAGGAAATGCAACACATAAAATCAACAATACGCAAAGCTGATTAATTGTCGTTGACCTTTCAGTTGCTGGAGTCAGACAGAGCTCATCAAGCTCCAGCTGAAACACTGGAGCCATTCTTCAGTTTGTGTCATAACTATCCAATTCTGCTGTCTCTCCTTTTGGAGTTAAGTGGCTCTTACTGGTATATACAGCCTCTCTGAACCAGCAAGAGATGTTAAGGCAGTCATAAGTCTGTATTGAGGGCAGCTACTTTTGCACTGCTGCAGAAGCTTAACTTTGCCTGGTCATGGCTTAAACTGATGACAGCATCTTGCTACACACTGTAATACCAGTGCTGTCTCCTGAGGATAATATTACACCTCCTTGCTCTTTCAAGAAGAAAAAGGGTTTTTCCAACTCAGTTGGTAGGTAAGTATATTCAGATTGCACTTTAAAAGCCATACTGAAGCTTTTAAATTGGACTGATATTTCCGTGACTCGTTATTTATTGTTATAACTAGGATAAGGTTGACAGCTAGATTTCCTCATGCATATCCAAGAAAATATCTTTCCATCAGTTACAGTCCTATAACTGTTCTCTAACACCTTGCCCTCTTTGATCTTAAAACCTTATGTAAATATTAAACATCTATAGGATTATACATCCATAAACCAAAATTTATCTGGCTCTCATTTCACAGTGGAGGCCCAGACATGGAGAAGTTATGACTGACATTTACAGAAGCAGCATCTGAATTTGCAGACAGCTCTACAATAGCCAGTATTTGCCCTAAAACATTCTTGCAGAAACTGGCAGTCAAAGATCACAAAACCAAGTGCTGCATTCAGATTCATGCAATACAGTTCCCAAATAACACTACAAAAATTATAGAGGGAATCGATAGCTGAGTCTAACAGAGGACCTGTTTTAACGTCCTCTTAAGTCCTGCCTCCTCTTCCCCACCATCACCTCTGCTCTTAGAGTGTATGGTGTTGGTTTTGACATTGTGCTGGATCATTATAGACAGGCAAAATGGTGAATACACAAAGGTTTGCATAAATACATTGGAGAGCTGACTGTGGAAAATAACCTCACGAGACGAAAAGTGCAAGGTGAACAACACATTGGAGCAGCAGACACCTTGGCTTACCTCGTGTCCTGGGCCTCTTGGTGCTGAGAGCTTGGGAGAGACACTGCAGCACTGCCAAGAGGTGGACTTACTGACTTAGGTATAGGGGGGATCAAAGACGGTCCCAATGGCCCTTTCTTCATATCCCCACCACTGCAATGCACAGGCAGCAGGGAATCCTGGAAACAGCAGAACACAGTGCTCAGCTCAAGCACCCAGCCCTTCCCCTTTGATGCCACAAGAAGTTTAGCCATGCTTTTAGCTAGGACTTGGCAGGAAAAGGAAAGTCAAACTGATAGAGCAGCTTGGCCCAGGATGGGCAATGGAAAGGGAAGTGGTGAGGGAGAGATCCTGTCTCAAATTTGCCAGCTCTCTTCCCTCACTCACTTCTCTGGCAGTGTGGCTGCATTACCATCTGGCATCCACATGCTTGGCATAAAGATGTTCTGAGGTGCCACTGCCTCTCTTGGCCTTTTGGATGGTATGGGAATGGATTTAGGTCACTATCCTCTCACTGTCCCTAAAGCACCTACCAGCTATTGCTGATCTCCTGCCAAGTCCCCATAAAATCATTCTGCACCATGTCAAAAACTGCTTTTCTCAAGCCTGTAATGTTTGCTGCTTCTGCCCTTCCCCTACAGCCCCCCACCAGCCTTTCATCCCAGATGCTAATGTGCTCTCTGCATGCTCAGTGCTCTCCAGGTCCCACACAATTCATCTTCGCAGGCTCACTGTCATTTATTAAGTTCAGCAGAGCTCCCTGCCCTGCTGCTCTGTGTAAGGTCTCTTCCTGCTCTAGTTGCTTCAGGCCCCCCACATCATGGCTAGCAAGGAGGGTGGAGGGAGCAGGGGCAGATGCACACCCTTCCTTAGTATCCCATCATTTTTGGCAGAGCTAAAAAGCCAAATTGGGACCTGGTCAAACTTCAGTGAAATGATCAGCTAATGTCAGGGATACATTTGGCCCTTTATCAGCAAGGCTGAAATCAAGTACACAAGGCTTTTTATTGGTTATTCTGTTTAAAAAAAGTTGCTGTTCATCTGCTTTCTCCTGCACACCACAGCAAATCCAAAATAACTGAAGCTCCTGTCCCTCTTGCAAAGGGATCCCCAGTCGTGTGGATGGAGTTTGGACTGCACTCCCCATGGCCACCTGCCATCACTTACCTCTGGACAGACCCATGGCAGAGGACAAAGCTGCACAGAAGCTGATGAAGCCTAGAAATATTATTAGAGACAACTGTGCAGAAGGGCATGGCCGTACAACTCAAAAGCTGAGGGAACCTAGAATTGAGTTTGCAGGACTGCCTGCTCCAGCAAATATTTTTTTCCATCAAAACCAGACAGAGCTGATATAAAACACCACTAAGACACTGGAGTGTCTGGAACTGTAACCACAACATATTGGTATTGATAGCAATATCTATTGATACACATCAATGCAGGGGACGAAGTCTGCAGCACACACACTGCAAAGACAGCCTGAAGCCCGATGTCCCTCTGAGCTCTTCCGTGGCTCAGCTGCTTCCATTCACGTACACCACGGGGAAAGAAGACCTCAGAATTCTGTCTACATGGCATAAACTGAAAATTGACCACACAGGATTTGGCTTGTTTTCCTTACCTGGCATTCTCTTTCCTCTGTTATCAGCTCCTTGTTATTACCCTCATTGTCATCACAGCCTGGGCCATTTTCCCCACGCTCCTGCTCTCTGTTGCACATCTTGCTGGGCTCCAAGGAAGGAGGGCTGTTCTGGATGGGAGGCAAGGGCTTGGAGGGTAAGAGCATCTGGGAAGTTGACAG